GACTCACCTCGCACACTGTCCCAGGATGATGCACCGTAGTAAGACATGCTCTCATGATGCCACTATTGTATGCTCAGGTGAGACTTTGGACTGATGGATGTAATTTACATGTGTCCTATATGTCTTCTTCCTGTCAGCCCACAGTTCAGAGCTTGGTCTCAAGGTTCTTGGGTGCTTCCCCTATCACACCTTGAGTCTATATGCTGCGTTCAGAGCCTTATGCTGTGGCATGGATGAAAGCTGAGAATTGCACACTACAGTTGCTGCTAACTGGGTAGCGTGAGATGACCAACACTGAGACAGTGCTACTAGTAGTTCCTACTCTGAGTTACTCACATGCTCCAAATACAAGGCAATGCTGGAACTGCCTCTGCAAGAAAAGATATTGCAAGGTAGCAGCAGTATTATGGGGGTAGGAGAGAGCAGAGGAGAGGAAGAGAGACTGAACTTAAAGAGTCAAAAGACTTTTAGTCATGTAGTGCAGGCTACAACACTGACAGTAAAGACTTTTTTTTCTAAAACTGGCTTATGAGCATCCTGGTCTAACATGCTTCCCAGTAACCTGAGATATAGTGAGTGCTAGTTCCTTGCAGCTAGCACCTTGCAGCTAGATCTCTCTTACAAATTTCAATGCAATAACACATTAAAAAAAAAGTAACTTCTAAGTTCCCTTATTCTTCCTGCAGGCTATGGTGGGTACAGGCTGGCAAATGGCAGTACCACATGTTCGGGGAGAGTAGAGCTCCTTCACGGAGGCACCTGGGGAACACTCTGTGACTACCTGTGGGATCTACCAGCTGCCAATGCCCTCTGCCAGCAGCTGGACTGTGGAGTTGCCCTATGGATACCAAGTGGACAATCCTTCGGGAAAGGAAATGGATCTGTCTGGAATGGCACATTCAGCTGCATGAAGAATGGCTCACACCTCGGACACTCTCCTGTGAGTGGAATAGGTCATGATGAATGCCCTGCTGGAAAAGACGCTCATGTGGTATGCTCAGGTGAGCAACAGAAAGGTCTAAAAAGAGAACTGAAAAACTCCTTTTTTGAGGAAGAATATGGACCCAAAATCCAGAAGGTGTCTGTGGAGCCAAGCTCTGTCTTTTGTTTGCTGCTATAGGCATTTCCAGGATTTGAGGCTTCACTTGTACCACAAGGCTACTCTCTGTGAAATGCTCCTAGTGTCAGGAAACACCAAGAACAGGGCTGCTCCACAAGGTAGGATGAGCTGGGGGCAGAGGGTGAGGCCAAAACAGGCAGTGTCCTTACCCATCAAGGGACAATCCAAAGCATCTGCACAGAGGATGGAGAAAGGTACTGATAACAAGGTCTGTGGACAGTGCCAGACAAGGCAAAGTAATCAGTGAGATGTAGGGTCCACCTAGAGAGTACAGTCAGGGCTCTCAGTCAGGACTACAGACAGCAGAAGACAAGACTGGACAGTTACACTGGTTAATGACTGAAGGTCCAGGTTTAACTGAGGTCTTGAACCAGTAGCCTGAGGTTGCATAGCTGGAATCCCTACCTGAGGCTGGTCAGGACAATTAAGGTCTACTGGTTCACCCAGAGCCCTGAAACCTAGTGCCCTGAGTTTAAAAATTGCAAAGGGGACCAAATCCTGACTTCTAATCATTCTTCTTAGTTAAACAGAGTGGACAGAAGTCTAGTTATGAATATGGAAGTTCCAGTGGCTCAGTGGAGTCATTTTTGCTACCTAATGCTAAGGAAAACTCAATCTCATTTCCTAGTCACTTTTGGGACATGCCCATGAGCAGTAGCAAACATGACATCTCAATACTCTCTTTCTCTTACATGCAGGGTGCCCAGGGGGCAGGTTGGTGAACGGCACCACATGCTCTGGCAGAGTGGAGATCCGCCACGGAGACACCTGGGGAAGACTCTGCCGTTCCCACTGGAATTTGCAAGCTGCCAGCGTTCTCTGTCATCAACTGAACTGTGGCTATGCAAAGTCAATCCAGACAGGAGACCGTTTTGTGGATGGGAATGGGCCTGTATGGAGAGATGCTTTTCGCTGCGAAGGGACAGAGTCCTGCCTGTGGAATTGTGCTCAAGTGACTTTGGGCAATCCAACCTGTTCAGCCAGAGAAGCAGCCACTGTTATTTGTTCAGGTAAGTCAGGGGTGGCCTTTTATGAGTAGTGCAACTTCAGACCAAAGCAGCATTGGTGATCTCACTCTTCCAAGTGAGTCTTGAATGTTGGCCTGTCTTTAACACCCTTTCCTTTCCCGTTTCACTTCCTCCAACCTTGATTTCAGCAAAAAAGTTCATTTAGTAGAGGGATTCACATTGTTCAGATGTGCCTGGCTCTTCACAGGATCTAGTCTTTAAGCTGGGGAAGCCTCTCTCACTTCCTATTACAGATACTTGTGTGCATGAAAGCAAAGAAAGACTTAACAGAGGCTGTCTCCTTAACCAGTGGTGAGAATTATTTCTTTACCAACATAGAAATTTGTCTTCCATCTCTCGCCTGCATGTTATTTCTACTGCAATAAGTGCAGTAGATGTTATTCAATACATTTTCCAACTCTCTTGAGCCCAGGTCTTGCTGAATCACTCAGACTGTCAGGTGGTGAGAGCCGCTGTGATGGGCGAGTTGAGATCTCTCTCCATGGCATGTGGAGCAGAGTCCTGGATGATGACTGGGACATTAAGGATGCTGATGTGGTATGCAGACAGCTCCAGTGTGGAACTGCCAAGAAAGCCTATTACCTCCCAAGGTCTGAGCGAGGCATGGGTCTTGTGGCCTTAAGAAGTGTCCAGTGTGCTGGAAATGAGACTCAGCTAATGCTCTGTAACACCTCCCATTCTCATACACTGCCAACGGGAGTTGCTGAAGACGTTGGTGTGATTTGCTCAGGTGAGTTACTGTGCAAAAGAAACAGAATGCTTCCTAGGGTGCCTCTAGCTCACCTTACACTGCTTGTATACTTTCAGGGACAAATGATAGTTGAGGGAACAAGGGTAGTTTACATAACGCTTTTTTCATCTGAATTCTTGAAAGAATTTATCTCACAGAATCAAAAAGAAATAATAGAATACAAAAGTCATAAGAACACTAATATGGCCATGACTGCCACACATTCTGACTGTCACTTGGGAATTAAATAGGTTTTATTTTGTGACATTTCCATACTTATAGATAGTTGCAGCCTTTCTAGAGTAAATTAGAACTGTTTCTACTCTTCTCTTAATTTGTAACCCATCTGTAACAGAAACTGTCTTTGTCTCTGTCTCACTAAATTAGTTTAGATAGAAAACAGATTCTCAGGCTTTCTAAGATAAGGTGATCTCTGCATATACTTAATATGACTAGACACTCCTTGTTCGCAACATCTCACGGGAATTATTCAAACATTTACCTTATGCAGAAGGAGGCCTTTCCCTTTTTGCAGTTTTAGCATCACAGGAGTTCTGCCCAAGAAACCATAACAGAAGATTTGGAATATAACATCATAGAATCATAGAATCACAGAACAGTTTGGGTTGGAAGGGACATCTCCCACTAGACCACGTTGCCCAGAGCCCTGTCCAACCTGGCCTTGAACACTGCCAGGTGATACCTTAAAAGCGGTTTAAACATACAGTCATTACGCTGACCTGTGCACTATCATTATATTGCATGTTTTGTTCCTGCAGGTAGCAGACAGATCAGACTGGTGAATGAAACAAAGCACTGTGCTGGGAGAGTAGAGCTTTATCATGATGGCAGCTGGGGCACCATCTGCGATGATAACTGGGATCTATCAGATGCTAATGTTGTTTGCAAACAGCTGGGATGTGGCCATGCCATCAAGGCATTTGTCTCTGCTCATTATGGCGAAGGCTCAGGACAGATCTGGCTGGATGATGTGAACTGCACTGGGGCCGAGTCCGATCTCTGGGCATGTCCCTCTAGTGCATGGGGCCAGCACAACTGCCAACACAAAGAGGATGCTGGAGTCCTGTGCTCAGGTGTGTTCAGAGAAACCTTTTCTGGCCCTGTGGCTTGAAAGGGGAGGGTTACATGAAGACGAAGCAGAGAATAGTGGAGACTTGCTTGGATAGCCTTTTGCTCTCTCTTGACTACAAGCATAGTTAGTTGGTCAGCACATCCCTTTGGTCCCATCAAGATGCAAAGGGTCTACAGAAGTCCTTGTTTTGTGTTAACACACACAAAAAGTGTGTTTTGGGGTGGGATATTTGGGGGGTAAATTGGAGGGTTTCCACAAAAAGTTTCCTCAGCAAAGGTCTGTGGGTGTTCCTTGTGTAGGAGGTCATCCGCTGTCATGTGCCCATTAGAGTCAGTTTCAGCTGGATTCGAAACCAACAGAAACAACCCACTGTGCACCAAAGCATCAATCAATCAGAGGAACATATGGTGGATCTGTTCCTGCTTATTTAAGACAGAGTGACAGCTGCAAGAGAGAGGAGAAATGAAGAAGTGGAAAAAGACGCCGCTGGGGTCATGGCTGGAGACACTTATTTCCATGCCAGAGGAGGTACGCCTCTGATAGGGTTGTAGCCTGTGGATAAGCCACACAGAAACAGATAGATATACTTTAGAAGGGACTGCAGGCTGTGAAAGACCCACACTGGAGTAGGTACTAACCCTAAAGGAACTGCAGCCTGTGGATAAGCCACACAGGAACAGATAGATACACTTTAGAATGGACTGCAGACTGTGAAAGACCCACACTGGAGCAGGTACTAACCCTAAAGGAACTGCAGCCTAACGACAGCAGTTGGTCAGTCACACTGAATCAAATACAAACCCTAAAGGGACTACAGCCACTGGAGAACTCACAGTGAAGCAAATACAACCCCTGGAGGAACTGTAGCCTGTGGAGCATTCATGCTGAAGCAGAGGAAAATTAATAAGAAGCAAGGAGCAGCAGAAAAAAAACCCCACAATCTCCTGCACTGCTGCCCTCACTGTAGGAACTGGGAAGAAAACCAGAGGAAGTTAGGACTAATGGAGTGGATCAAAGGTGTTTCCCTCAGTGCTTCCCTTTAATTGTTATAGTTTTCTCTTTTTTTCCTCATTACCCAAAGCAATAAATAAGATTATGTTAAGCGCTAAAAAATAAAGTTAAGTTAAATTTCCCAAGTGGAAACTCTTTTGCCTTTGAGTTCCAGATACATTTCAGCTCTTGTATGATCTAGAAGGTAAAGAATACATGTTTTATGCTATAACTGATACTGAAAATGTGGGGTTTTTTCACACTCCACTGGTCAAAACAGCAAGGCTTCAGTCTGCCTTCACCTGAGTGGTGTGCTGTACACCTGGAACCAGCTGTCCCAAGGGTAGCCCTTGCTACCTGCCATCCACCAAAATCCAAGGCAACAGAATTCCAAAGAACTTTTCCTCTACCTTGATGATGTATTGATTGGAGAAACAACTCCAGAAGTACTAAAGTGAAGGGCTATGGGAACTAATTACCTCTCTTAGTGCTGGATTTGCTATTAAGCACTTCAAAATTAAAAAAAAACCTCAAGAAAGACAGGTTTTAGGTATGCAAAATGGGTGGACATAAATTTCAGCTGAACAAATTGTTTGGATAAACACCATGGACCTCCATGCAATAAACAAGAACCCAGGCCTTCTTGGGCATTACTGGATTTTGATGTAGGCACATCCCTGGTTGCAGCCAACTGACCAAACTCACATATCAAATGACCTGAAATATGCCTCATTTTGAGTGGGAAGAGGAACACCACAAGCTTTGGAGCTGATCAGTAGAAGACAGTCCATGCCGTGCCCTTAGGACCACTATAGGAAGGCAGCAATATATAAAAAATTGTTATATACACATGCAGGAAAGAAAAGCATCAAATGGAGTTTGTGGCAATGAGTATCTCAAGAGATGAGAGATGCTGTTGGGACTCTGGAGTCAGAGCCACAAAGGAGCAGAAAGTAATTACTGCCTTCTAGAACAAGCTGCATGTGCAGAGAGTGTCCAAGTGCCACTGAAGTGAGTGCAGAGCAGTCACTGTGGTTGTGCCCTAGAACAGCTGTCCTGAATTTTAAGTTAAAGGATTCAAAACTACTGAGGGCAAGGCAACCACAGCTACATGGCAAAAATGGCTACTGGCCCTTCTCCAATTTGTATTTATTGGTTAAAAATAAGAAAGTGGTCTCTACTGTTTGAACAGTATGGATGGGTCTTTGGAAGAGAAAAATGAAATGAGTGCCTTTACATGAAGTAAATAGAAGACAGTAATCCTACTTTACCTCATAAATTATGTTCTTGTTCATGTGTTTTGCAGGGACAAGGTCTGCATTTTGTAATACATACATGTTGATATGTTGGTATGCTAACTCCTATAATGCGGTTCCCAGAACAAGAGGTAGCATTTCACTGACTCCATGTGCACACAGTTACAATGTCAATACATATTGTCTAGGACTAAGGGTAGAGTTTATAATGTATTTTATTATTATGAGGATAGTAGAGTTTATAATGGATATATGTTCAAACACTTCTTAAATAGGTGTTTCACAGAGGCAAGAAGTGCAATGTATTGGCTGTAACTGGCAGGGTTTCAGTCACTGAAGGCTGAAGGGGTGCCCTGTCCTTCTGCAGGGGAGCCATTCCAGCTGGCTCTGACATTATTGCAAACAAGCACATATCACCTCTGCTTCAACATACCAGATAAATATGCCTGCAGCTGTGGGGTGTGGCCATCACTGTTGTTCGTTTATGAAGATGCTGATGAATGCTGGATAATCAGAGAGGATCAGTGTACAATTTCTGGTTTTAAGTGTTTGTCACTTTTGGAGTGGTTTCCTCTGGCATTTTCTCATTCGGAGTGATGAATAAGATTGTTAGCAGATTCTGGATCACAGCAAAGTTCCTAGCAGAACCAGGTCCTTCTAATTCCTTTTTTATGCCTTCACTTTTAGAGTTCCTGGCTCTGAGACTGGTGAATGGCAATGACTGTGCTGGGCGGCTAGAAGTTTTCTACAACGGGACATGGGGGAGCGTTTGCTCTAACAGCATGTCTCAACTCACCGCAGTAACTGTGTGCAAACACCTGAACTGCGGAGATGGTGGAGAAATCGCAGCAGACTTCAAATACGGCAGAGGTTCTGGCCCTACATGGCTGGACCACATCGAGTGCACTGAGCAACACAGCTCTCTGTGGCATTGTCAGTCAGACCCCTGGGACCCTCAGTCATGTGATAACCGAGCAGAAGAGACACACATTTCCTGCACTGGTAAGTAGAAATCCATCTGTACAATACCCTCCAGACATATACATAAACCTATGCATACATATACGGACACTGCAGTAATTACCTCATGTTCATTTGTTTTCTGGTATATATTATTTCTAGTTTCATGCAAATGGCACAAACATTTTTCTTTGCCTATATTCCTGATTTAAATGAGTGACTTCAAATTACATGAGTGTCACCAAGTGCAGTTACCCAGTGGAAATCCCAGGGAAGTCCCTGATAGGATGGTGCCATTGCATACTTTTATAAGCAAAAATCTATGATACACAGTCAGTCTGTGAGATATGAATTAGGATCAGACTTCTCAAGAAGTCTAGAGGCATGTGTGTGTTTCTACATGTATGGAGGTATATCGGTGTGTATGTACAGGTACAGACATACATGCACATAGCCATGGACAAGTGTATGAATTCTTCAGTTCTAAAGGTCTATTTCTAATGCCTGCTCTTATGACTTGATGATCTTAGAGGTCTTTTCCAACCTTTATGATTCTATGACAGTATTTCTTACCTGTGGGTTCACACTGTAATATCAATTAATTCTAGATGGCATTCAGATCTCCTGGAAGGGATTGCAGTTGCCTCACACAAGAAGTAAGCAAGCACATTCATCAGGATGATTATTTAATTCACAGCAATAGCCAATGATCCACCAAGCACTAAATAGGCCATACATGTATTATAGGAAAAAATTAACTTGAGGATTAATTTTCAGGCATTTTACACTACCTCACTCTTTTCAGAGAATAATCAGATTATTTACTTCACTATTTAAATCCTGCAGGAAGAAAAGAGGCAACATCTCCAGCCACATTTGCTGAGTGTCCAAACTCTACAAGTTGTTCAGGTACCGCTATCTCTTTGTTTCTCCTTATTGGTCCCTATGGACCTTCCTGCTGTTTCAGCAATACAGAAAGTTTCTGTGTTTTGCAGACAGGGAGAAGTTACGAGTCATAGGAGGAGAGGATGGATGTTCAGGCAGAGTGGAGATTTGGCACCAAGGTTCTTGGGGAACAGTCTGTGACGATGCCTGGGATGTGGCAGACGCTAATGTTGTGTGCAGGCAGCTGGGCTGTGGATCTGCTGTGTCTGCTCTGAGTGAAGCTGCCTTTGGGCAAGGGACTGGTCCCATCTGGTTGGAGAAGGTGCACTGTAAAGGAACAGAGCTGTCTCTTTGGGACTGTCCTGCCAAGCCTTTGCTTGGCAAAAACTGTGATCACAAGGAAGATGCCGCTGTGAATTGCTCTGGTTAGTGACTGGTCCCTTGATTTATTACACAAATCTGGGAAGGAGGTGGATAAAGAAACTTTATGTCAGCCGTACATCCCTGCGACTAACCCCTTCATAATTTTGAAGCAGGAACTTCACAAATTATGTGAAGATATTCTCCCTATTTTTCACACTTGCCTCCTCCTTAATCTGGACTCACCTTCCTTTTGCAGGTGTGACAGAAACAACAGCATCACCCACTAGAGCAGGTAAAATGTTTCTTATTCCCCCTTTCATTCTCCCACCAAATGAGGATTTAATGTCCCTGATACTGCATAGCAGGTAAATTAGCAGTACATTCTGTGCCCTTGTGGCCAAGAAGGCCAATGGCATCCTGGGGTGTATCAGGAGGGAGGTGGTTAGTAGGTCGAGAGAGGTTCTCCTCCCCCTCTACTCTGCCCTGGTGAGACCGCATCTGGAATATTGCGTCCAGTTCTGGGCCCCTCAGTTCAAGAAGGACAGGGAACTGCTGGAGAGAGTCCAGCGTGGGGCTACAAAGATGATCAAGGGAGTGGAGCATCTCCCTTATGAGGAGCGGCTGAGGGAGCTGGATCTCTTTAGTTTGCAGAAGAGGAGACTGAGGGGAGACCTCATTCATGTTTATAAATATTTAAAGGGTGAGTGTCACGAGGATGGAGCCAGGCTCTTCTCGGTGACAAACAATGATAGGACAAGGGGTAATGGACACAAGCTGGAACACAGGAGGTTCCACTTAAATTTGAGAAGAAACTTCTTCTCAGTGAGGGTGACAGAGCACTGGACCAGGCTGCCCAGAGAGGTTGTGGAGTCTCCTTCTCTGGAGACATTCAAAACCCGCCTGGACGCCTTCCTGTGCAACCTCATCTAGGTGTTCCTGCTCCGGCAGGGGGATTGGACTAGATGATCTTTTGAGGTCCCTTCCAATCCCTAACATTCTGTGATTCTGTGATTCTGTGATTCCAGCTTATCAGAAAGCATCTCCCACAGCCTTTTGCAAAAGAGAGCTGAGTGGGACTATCCCCAGCTGCTGAATTCTAGCTGCTTGAGCAGGACCCAAAATTGGGCAGCAGGCGACCTGCCTCACCCTGCTAGCATGGGCACAGAGGAGCAGCCCTTTGGGCCACCTGATTCTCTACCTGTTGCTTCTTCATTTCCATTCAGATCCTCCCCGTCGCCCTGCAACAGACACTACGAGAATTTCAACACCTGTCATCCTCTGCATCATCCTGGGGGCCCTTCTCTGCCTGGTCCTCACCATTCTCGCTGGACAGATCCGAAGTGCCAGGGCGCGGCAGAGAGGTGGGTCCCTCATGATTGGTATGAAATGCTTCATTGACATGGCTGGCAAGTATTCAGTTGGCTGAGGAGGCCAGGGGGTTGGGTGATTGAGATGAATGGCATCCGGTGCCAGAATGAGATTTTCACTTACTATATGGCAGTGAAAGATTCCAGCAATGCTTATCCTCGGTCAGCACCTCTTGGTGAGTTTCTGGATACCGACCAGGCCATGTAGACCTCTTTAGGTCACTTTTTCTTTTCATGATCCCAGCCTGGGTATGAGCAGAGACTGTGTGAATGATCATTGCCTTTTACTTTCAGGCTCCAGACTGTCCTATGACCCCTTTTCTGAGGCTCTCTATGAAGAGATCGACTACAGCTTGATGCGAGAAAAGCAGGACATGACTGGCCTCTCAGGTCTGTGTGTCTTGCTCTTGTCAAGGGAAAATTCCTTCTGGTGGCCCAGATCCCAGTCTGGAACTCTGCAGCTCCCAATTCTACTGGGCAACTGAAAATTCCCAGATTTGAGGAGAGGGGTTTCCAGTCCAGAGGACTCTGTCAAATTCCTCTCCTAGGGACAATTCATTTTGTGCTGTTCTTCTGCAGCCATAAAGCATAGAGTAGTATAGCTCAAACAAACAAACAACCAAAACAACAAAAAACCCCCCACAAAAATCCCAACTAAAGAAAAAAAAAAGTTTTCACTGCATTTATTTAAAACAGGAACAACTAAAGGAATAGTATGTATCACCCTCCTAGCAGCTATATTGCTCTGTCAGCTTCTTCCTGTCAACTGCTTTTTTTTCTTCATGGCTTGTCCCCTCCATGAGCCATGAGACTATTCCAGTGTAAGCCCATTACTTTTGTAGGGGTAACACTGACTGCCCAAGAATGTGCTTGACTTGTGTGTTGTTACTGCAGCCTACTCTTTTCATCATGATGCAGTTTTAACAGCTAAGGAGAGTTTAATCTGATATCACACTCCTCTTCATTTGCCTAGATTCTTATCCAGGGAGTTCAAAAACAAAGGCAGAGTTTTATAGTGGGGACAGTGATGAAGAAAATGGTCCTGGAGCAACTCAAGGTAATGGAAGATGAGGATCTAACAAAGAAAGAGACTCAAAATCAGAGTAGCATTTTATTTCCAAAGCGTTATTGGTGATTAAAACTTTTTTCTTGCTGCACTTTATCTCCACTAGTGATATTCTGACGTGAAGAAAAGATATCGGTTTAACTCTTGTGGTGGGAGAGTATCATACAATCTTGTATACAAGTGCTAGTCTTCTCTACTATATGAGAAGTTGAAAATAAGTGTTTAGTGGTCACAGGATCCAGTCACATGATTCCAAAAATTTGACAACTGCTTCTCCCAGAAACTGCAACTGTAACAGCTTGTAAACTATTGCTTCATTGCTGAGATAAATTAATTAAGACAGAGGAAAAAGATACCCCCAAAAAGAACATTGGTGTACCATTGGAGTTAACTAGGGAATTTTAATCTGAGTGACCTGAAGAAAATGCAGTTCACCAGATGCTGAGATTTTTTTAATTTGAAAAAGCTGAGGGAGAGCAAGTGTTTGGAGAAGAATTGCATTTTTCTGCAGCTTATAATAAAGCTCTCTTGGCTATTGCCTGGTCTCAGAGAGATCAACTGCCAAAGGCATGAGCAGTTTTTGACCTCAGCTGCCTGTATCCCCAACTCTCTGCTTTGCTATGTCTTTATTTTTATTTTCTATTGTTTTTCTTATATTAAGATTTTTATTATTTCAAATTAAGCTAAAAGCTTTTAGTTTAGGATTGAACACCTCTCCTGTGAGGAAAGGCTGAGGCAGTTGGAGTTGTTCAGCCTGTAGAAGAGAAGCAGAACTCCAGGTAATTTTCTCCAAAGATGAGGCCCAAGTCTGTAGCCACATGTCCCTATGCAAATAACCACAGTGGCTACTTAACAAGACCATTTCAGAGAAATTTAACAGAATGTGGTTAAAGCAATGAAAAGACAAGGAAGTAAGTGCTAGACAGAGATGAACAAGGAGTAATTCGTCATAATGCAATCATGAAGTGCAACGGAGGATTGACATGGTTTAGCCACCAAAACCAGGACGGGAAGCCTACTCCGAAATAAACCCTCCCACTAACTGCCTCCTTCTCCAGATTGTCTTCCCCCTCCTGACCCTCCTCCATGTTGATTTCTGCTTTCTACTTGTTACAGCAATGTATAACAATTATTGGAGCATTACTGTTTGTCTTTAGAGTCCTCAGGAGGATTATTGGTTTCTTATCGTTCAATACCATAATGATAATGTCAGTATTACAGGCCCTTATTGTTCAATTATCATCTACTACCCTCTCTAGTGGAAGATAAGTGTAATAGTTAATACCTGCACTGTTCCAGAGGTCTCTCCACTGCCTGGAAATACCCTGGAAGATGGTTACGATGATGTGACAGAAGCTCCTGAACCTAAAGATGCTTCGCTTTCTGAGCAGAATGAACAGGAAATCATTGGGATCCCTGAAGAAACTGACAGAAACAAGGATTCACAGACAGGTGAGGACAGAAGGGCAGCGCTCTTAGTTTTCATAATTTATAGTTACTGTGCTGAACACAGGGAAAACCAAGGTGGAGGGTACCTCAAGGGTTTATCTAAACACTGTCAGGAAGGAACACTACCCACCCACATGAGGAGTGTAGGTTAGTGTCCTGGTTTACGGGAACAGAATTTTAGAGTCCTCTCTTCAAGAAAACTGCCATTCTGTAAGGATCA